ACCAGAAATAGGAGAATTCGTAGTTGAATTTCCTGTCTTAGCACCTGACATAATTTTATATATATGACTTAAGCTTAAGGGCATAATCAAAATCAGCTTGTATCGGTTCCTGTATCTCCACTAGCTCACCATGTAAAAGGGAACCATGTGTTTAGGGTGGCCAGGATCTAGAGTTGGTGGAAACACGAGTAAAATTCAGCGGAAGACTTGACACCTTGTATTGGAAATGTCTGAAATGACAAAGATAATAATAATGGATAATACAATCATATTTATAGTCTAGGAAGTACAGATTCAGATGTACTTTGTTCGTAGTGTATCGCGATCATTCGCGTGACATGACTAGTGATTGTTCGTGTGACTGAGAGTGGCGTGACCCTTGGGGTGACTATACGCGCGAACCTACTGCTCATGCGTTGACTCGCTACTGCTGACGGCATCACGCGCGTCCTTCCATATGAGGTATCGCGGTACTCGTAAGTGTTATATCAGGAATGAATAAGTAAACTCTGTCGAGTATACTTCAGCAGACGGGACGTTCTCGGGCCATACACTGTTGCCCGAGGAACGCAAAAGATGCAACAATGGTTACATGTTTCAGAGTGAAAAATGCCAACTAGGTAACCAGAATACTCTATATTGGCCCATTTCGCCCGTGGAATTCTTGTGCTCGACTTTGGAGAACCCGCCAGAAAACAAGCAAGAATTTATGTGTAATTTACTACAGTGTGTGGCACGTGGTTAGGCCCAAACCACTCCATGCCACGCCAGACTTGGGCTGATTGGAGAGAAGGTCAAGAGCCACGTCATTCCGTACATATGCTGTCAGGGTACAACAACGTGAGGATGTTCGAATTATTTTCGTGTTAACAGAATACGTACCCTCGCCTGGTTTCCGTTTGCTTGGCTGGGCCAGCTTTCCTTGTTTCCGTCCACCCAGTTGATTAGGGCGTGGAACATACGGTTACGAACTCTCAAGCTCGAACTTCCACCACTCTAAAACCATCTAGAACTTGCAAAAACTTAATTGTAACTTACCTACTCGTATTCACCTCCATCAAAGTTCGAACTTTACTGGTTTCGTAAATGTATGATCTACGCCCTTAGTCCTCCTTCTAACGGTTTGTGCACATGTTTAGGGAAATCGGTAACCCCAATTATTTCCCACTTCTGCCCCTCAACTAAGGGGCGGATGTTAAATTATATCTTTGATTTATAATTTGTAGGCTTGGTATGTGTTACTAAAATCTACTGTAGAGGGTACAACCTCCCTCCTTGTATCCCTCTCTCTTCTATTCTCGACCTCTCTTTTCTCTTGTCAACTTCCTCTCATAGCTAAACCCCCACGCCATTCCATGGCCGTCTAGCATCCTAGTCCTTTGACATGGTAACAGAGCAGGTTGCCCTTCCCAGGCCTGCTCCCCACGCTTCCGTCGCGTACTCGTACTTCAGTCGTCATTTCCGCTACTTTCGTGCCGCCGTCGCGGCCATGCCATGCTGCAGTAACGCCGCCGTGGTGCTGCAGTCGCAGCCCCGACGCGTGGCGTCGACGCCACACCGCGGCGACGGTGTCGTGCTTCCGTCGCAGCGTCGACGTACCGTTGCGGCATCGACGCCGAGCTGTGGAGGCGGCGTTATGCTGCAGTAGTGGCATCGACGGGCGGCAGTGGGCCGCGTGACGTCTTAGGCGCTGCCGGTCCTGACGCCCGCACGCCATCCACGGGCGTGTTGCAGAAGCCCCGCCCCCCTTCCCTGCGTCCCCTCTTCCTCGCCGCAGCTGATGGCTAACTCCCGCTGGCCGTCCCACCGTCGCGGAGCCTGGCCACGCCGCCGAGTGCTGCGAGCCCCGCCGCCGCCGCCGCCGCTGTTGTCGAAGCCGCCGCCGCTGTTGTCGAAGCCGCCGCCACTGCCACTGTCGACGCTTGCGTTGGGGCCACGCCGCCGCACACTGCCGCCGCCGCCGCTGTTGACGCTGCCGCCGCTGCCACCATCGCCGCCGCAGCCCTTGCTGTCGACGCACCGAGGGGTTGATCGGATTGGTGTAGCCGTCGCTGCTACTAAGTATGGGGGTGCTAGATTCAAGGGGTGTGTGTGGCTTAGTGTCCTGTGTGTGGTGTGCTTTTGGCTAACAAGCATAGGGGGTGTGTTAGATTATATCTTTGAAATATAATTGGTAGGCTTAGTAGGTGTTACTGAAACCTACTGTAGAAGGTACAACCCCCCTCCTTGTATCCCTCTCTCTTCTATTCTCGACCTCTCTTTTCTCTCGTCAACTTCCTCTCCTAGCTAAACCCTCACGCCATTCCATGGCTGTCTAGCATCCTAGTCATTTGACAGCGGAAGTGTAGCAGTTTCATTTGTCTCCTTCTGTCATGTTATGAAATGTAACTCAGAGTATAGCGCATAATACTATAATTAAAGGCCTAGGGCTTACATAATGCAAGTTGACCAGGTTGAACCTCAATAGTTGGACCAGTCAAGGGCTCGGTAGTCCTGAGGGTGAATAGGTCAAATTGGGTGCGGGGCGCCTCGGTAATACATTCGGGGCCGAATAGGTCGGCGGGGGTGGTTTGAGGTTTGAGGGCCGAGGCTGTGGACGCGCACTGTTCGCGGAACTCACAGTTGCTAAACCCAGTAAGGATTTGTGAAATCCTTACATCCTTCCAGCTTCTAAAGAGTGCCCTTTGTATATCGAAGGCCGAACTATCATTAATGGTAATCCCCGATGTGACAGTAGGTCTTCAGCATAGTGACGAGCGTAATGATTACGCCGTCCTGACGAGGTCTTCAGGTCGAACTCTGATCGATGGCCAAAAAGCGTCGAAACGAGTAATCTCAGCCGTTGAAGATGGTCGAGTTCTTCAGCTGACCGACGGGCAAGAGTAAATACTCCATAGGAAGACTGTGAAAAGTGAAAACTATCGAGTGGGCGATTGATGATGACGCATGGTATGATGAAGATCTGAAAATGATGACTGCTGAATGACGTGGCCGATGAAATGAAGAACCCATTCACCAAACGCGAGGTCATTCATGACACATGCGAGAGCAAATGTCTGTGTCTCACGAAAATCAGCAAACTCCATCAACGAGCTGACGAACAGAGGCGTGAAAGTGTAACGGTGACAAATGTTGCTCGAAGATGGCAGACCAAACACGCCGAATGGGTCAGACGAAATCTGCAGCTCAGCTGCACCTCTCCCCCCCTCCAAGAAGAAACAACTCCCAACGATCGAGGTAAAATACCAAGAAACCCAACGCTCCAAGGTAGTCGAAAGTATATCACAATGCTGGGTAGGAAGCACTGAAATCAGATTCGAAGATGTGGCGACAAAAACTCCAAATAGTAAAACTCTAAATCTGCTCCAACGTTGAAATTCTTCGGTAGGGTAAACCGCTCCAAGGGTCTTGAAACTCAGAAGTACAATAACTGCTCCGGAAGACTCCCATACGAACTCAAAAAAACTTCACAAGTCAAACTCTGCTTGCAAGCTGGCCCCAACATAGCTCCAACAATACAGCTGCAAATCTTCCCGTTTCCGTATTGCAGCTGTCGATTCGGAAGGTAAGGCTGGGTCGTGTTCACACTGTCAGGCGAAGTCAGACGAAATAAGGTCAGAGATGGTAGCAGGTGGTGGCAAGAGGATATAGACGATGGCGATGGAAAGTAACCTATACCAAAACCAGTCGAGTGAAAAACCTTGAACAGAACCCACGGTCAAATGTCGCCAACTGCATCAGCTACTTTGTCCGTAAACGCCGAAATATTCGGGAAGAGACGAAAACAACTGCTGCTCCCCTTCCCCCTCATGCAACCAAAACAGTCCGAAAATCTCGGTCGATGTTGCTCGTACCCCTGAAGATAGCGGGCACCTAACCAGCTATAAAACCCGACTCCTTTTTAAGCAAAAATGCTGGAACTTCACCCATAGCAAATACCGCAACTCCGCTTCACAGCTGCACGTGCTTCACAACTACCCATAGAAGACTGACGCGCCGTCCTTTAGCTGTACCCCCATCGGTTCATCACCAGTTGTACGCATGATCTGAACCCTTTAATTGAGGGTAAACATCGGAACCTACTGTAGATGGCAGAATCGTGGCTCTGATATCAGCTGTTATGAAACATAACTCAGAGTATAGCGCAGAATACTGTAGGGGAGCATGACTACAGAATGTTCCTAACAACAAGTTGACCAGGTTGAACCTCAAGAGTTGGACCAGTCAAGGGCTCGGTAGTCCCGAGAATGACGGGGCCAAATTGGGTTTGGGGCATCTCGGTAACACGTTCGGGGCCGAATAGGTCGGCAGGGGTGGTTTGACGCGAGGTTTGAGGGCCGACGCTGCGGACGTGCACTGTTCGCGGTACTCGACGTGGCTAAACCCAGTAAGGATTCGTGAAATCCTTGCACGTCACCTCTCAAGAAATTTGTTCATCCCGTTCGGGTCAGATAGGGTCCCCCGAGTCCCCGACCAATTCTCCCTACTTCGAGAACATCAACAAGCCTGCTCCAAACCAACATGTCCGCTGTTAGGGTGGGCAGGGCTCTCGCTAAGCCTAGGGTATTCCGTTATGTCACGGAATCGGCCCCAAAATTACCCGTTAGCGGACGAAATTGCCGAAAATTTACCCGTTGGCATACGGATTCGTCGAAGACGAATGGCCCACGGCTAAGGAAAATCCCTAGAACCCCCAGAGAAACTCTTTCTCGCATATACAATGTCTCGAACGATTTGAAAGAGTACAAAAACTTCTCGCTAACTAGCCTCTCCATTTCCTTAGCAGAGGAAGTTGGGGAAAATATGAGGGAGGTTAGGAAGGGGTGATACACCACTACTGAACAGATCTCATACTACGAGTGCGCTTTGTACGAAATCAAAGAAAAATAACTCGTACTCTCAAGGAATCACAGGAAAAGTAATCCATTAGGAGGACGGAATCAAGAAAACATTACCATGCAAGAATCGTCAGGAGGGTTGCGTTTGTCTTATGATTGAAGATTATGTACGTGTAGTGGGTACGCTACGTTCTTCTTAGAATAAAAGTTGTCGGTAAAACATATATAGAATGTGGATATTATTTGTAATTAAATCTTAATGCTGCCTAACATAATATAAAAATGCCGCAATGTTCTGAACCTAAACGCTATTTTTAGTGTTGTTGTAAGGAATTTTCCATTCCTTACCGAGCGGTACTGCTATCGCGTACGCTCGAACACACCCGAAGCCTCGGGACTGTTCCAGACCTTCTGACAGGACCGCCTCGGCTTCTCCAGACCTTTCGGTTCGACCTTCGGGAGTTCTCCGGGCCTCGCTTCGTCACTTCGAGACCCTTCGATCTCCTTCCCGAACCTTCCCATCGCATGGTTAGACTAGCTCTGGTGTTCCTATATCTTGGCTTGCCATTCCTTGTATCGTCAATTCATTGAGTGAACACTTCGTTATTCATTTCCGCGCTACTCTGCTTGTTCATTCATAACACCTGGTATTCAGAGCCACTTTCCTCACTCACCCGTTTTCGTGAGTTGATTTTTTTTGGGGGGGGGTAGGTCCCTCACGTAAGCTGCAAAGTGGTTGCTCGCGAATTAGATTGATTAATTCACCCAACTACGATAGCGTTTGCGCTTACCTGAGTACAGGCACACGGCGGAATTCCCCCTGCCCCGGCGGAGCATTCGCCAAATGGACCAAGCTCAGTTCAACGAGCTTCAGGAGCAGTTCAACGCCATGAACACACGCATGGCTACAGTGCTGGAGGACAACGAGCGACTTCGTGCGGAAGTTGCTGAGTTACGCCAGGCGCGAGAGGATTCGCGTCAGAAATCTGCCGCCCAAGAAGAGGTCGCCAGCACCGGACGTGTCGAAACCGTCTTGGACGAACTCGCACGTCAGGTGTCACAGGAGCGCAAGGACAGTGAAGCCGCCGCAGCAGCTGACGTAGCAGCAGCCGAAGCAGCAGCAGCAGCAGCAGCGACAGCGGCAGCCGCTCGGTCACAAGCAGCCGCTACTGTAGCCGCACCGGCGTTTATGCCGATCGTGACGACAGCGACGATTAAACCGACAATGCCGCCCCCGTTCAATCCTACAGATAAGAATACAACGGTTACGGGCTGGTTATTTTCGGCGGAACTTTATTTTAACGCCGCTGGGATCACTGCTGACGATTTAAAAATTCGACTGGCTGTATCACTACTGCGGGGACCTGCGCTAGATTGGTGGCGATATACTCTACAGGAGGGGGAGTTTTCGGCAGACGACACACAGGGGTTTTTCGGAAACTTTGGGTCTGCTGCCCAAGGGTCAATCGCGATTTTTGGATCGACCAAGATTCGCACATGGAAGGCGTGGGGTACAGCTCTGCGTGAACGTTTCGAGCTAATATCCGCCTTGGACAACGCACGCACGAAGCTGGACAATTGGCGCTAGTGGAGTTCTGTCCAGGATTACGCGTCGGTCTTCATGGCGTTATGCGATCAAATCACCGACATGCATGAGTCCGAGAAGAAAGCTCGATTCATCTCGGGCTTGAAGCAGGACATTAAATGCGAGGTCCGATTGCGACTGCCGGCGACGTTTCACGAAGCTGTCCAGATCGCAGATAATTTCGACGCACATCGGACGTATGCGAGAGCGGGTTCCCGGGAGGGAAATCATTTTCGTGGCCAGAATCCACGGCCCACGATTCACAGCGTAGTGGCGAAGGAGCACATGGACGATTTTCGCAAGGGACAATGTTTCAACTGCCACCAGCCGGGTCACCAATCTCACGATTGCCCCCGAAAGAAGCAGATAAAGAAGAACGACGAGGACAGGTCGGGAAACGCCAAGCGTCAGTAGCGGTCGGGCCCCCTACTGACCCTGTCTTCTCGCCCAAAAAACACCATCCCCACTGAGTAGTGGTTCCGATACATGCTATCAACTGCTCCCGGCTGAATAAGGGGGATGACCCAGTGGACCACCCTGTACTGGCGGAAGGACGACTCAACGGGAGAAAAATAAAAATATTCATCGACGGAGGTGCGAGTCATAGCTTGATAAATCGAGAGACAGCACGACGACTACACCTGACGCTGGAGAGGTGTCTACCCGAAATCGACGCGCGATTGGTGGACGGCACCCCGCTGGCAATACGTGACAAAGTACCCGTCGTTCGAATGAAGTGCGGCGACGATTTTGGTTTCAGCGCGCCGATGCTGGCGACAACGCTCGACGGCTACGATGTGCTATTGGGACGCGATTGGATGCGAAGATTCAACCCGCAAATCGATTGGACCACAGGCGAGTGCACAGTGAAGTGCGACAAGGGCTGGCGAAAATTACCCACGTGGCCGGAAGCGGAGACAACATCGACACGCGTCAACGCAGTGTGCCTCAAGGGAGCGGTCAAGAATGGAGCGGATTTATACGCCGTCCATCTAACCGAATCGACGGAGCAGAACGAGGCGACCGACATCAACAAACTCTGCGATTCGGTCCCGGATGACTTGGCGAAAATCATTCGAGAATATCCTGAGATCTTCCCGGATGACTTGCCAAGTGGATTGCCACCCGAACGACCCCAGGACCACAAAATCGAGCTGGAGCCCGGCGCGCAACCTACTGTACGCACGCAATGGCACCTGACTCAGCCGGAGCTACAGGAGTTACGTAATCAGCTGGACTACCTGCTGGCGAAAGGGTTCATTCGGCCGAGCACGTCCCCGTTCGCAGCACCGATCCTGTTCACGCCAAAAAAGGACGGCGGACTTCGCATGTGTACGGACTATCGCGCCCTTAATCGGGTAACGATAAAGTCGCGCTACCCAATACCACGAACGGACAAACTGATCGACAACCTTCGCGGAGCTCGCTACTGTTCGAAGATCGACCTTCGTGGCGGTTACCATCAAATTCGAGTGTTCGCTGACGACTGCCACAAGACCGCGTTTCGTACTCGCTATGGGAGTTACGAATACACGGTGATGTCGTTTGGATTAACGAACGCCCCCTCGACGTTTCAACTCACCATGAACGGGGTGTTCCGCGATCTACTCGACAAATGCGTAATAATTTACCTGGACGACATCCTGATCTACAGCAAGACCCGGGAGCAGCATTTAAAGGATTTGGACGCGGTTTTTCAGCGACTACAGCAGAATCGTCTCATCACCAAGGGCTCCAAGTGCGAGTTTTTAAAACAAGAACTGGAGTTCCTGGGGCATGTTATCTCCACGGAGGGGATTCGAATAGACCCGAAAAAACTCTGGGCTATTCAGGAGTGGCAACCGCCAACAAATCTGCAGCAGCTGCAATCATTTTTGGGTTTCGTAAATTATGTGCGACGGTTTATACCCAACATGGCGGGGTTAAGTGGACCTCTAACCAAGCTACTGCAGAAGGGAACTTTTTACGAGTGGGGGGAGAAGCAGCAAGCTGCGTTCGAGGCATTAAAAAATCTTTTAATGTCGCCACCAGTACTTCGCATCGCTGACCCGGACAGACCTTTCGAAGTCATCACCGACGCAAGTGACATCGCCATTGGAGCAGTGCTCATGCAAGATTTCGGCAACAGGCTTCAACCAATCGCGTACGAGTCACGGAAAATGCAATCTGCTGAGCGCAACTACTCGGTACACGACAAGGAGATGTTGGCGATCGTCCACGCGTTCAAAATCTAGAGGTGCTACCTGACTGGAGTAGACGTGACGGTGCGAACTGATCACAAATCACTACAGTATCTGAGGGCGCAGCCGAATCTCAACCCGCGGCAGATACGCTGGCTGGACTATCTGGAGTCGAACTTCACTTACAAGATCACGTACAAAAAAGGCGCCAACAATATTGCCGACGCCCTTTCCAGACCATCTGCCCAGCTCGCAGCAGTACTAGTCGCCCAGAGCAACGCGCTACTGAGTGGACTATTTACCCACGGGTATTCGACTGACCCCTTCGTAAACGACGGCCATCTCCCAATCACTACACGGAAAGGCGTCTATTACTTTCGAAGCGGAACTGATCGAATTTGGGTCCCAAGTTATTGTCTACTTCGCGAATTACTAATTCAAGAAGTCCACGATTCGAATTTATCGGGACATTTCGGGGTTGATAAAACTCTGAAGGCGTTGCAGCGGTTTTATTACTGGCCAGATATGGTGACGGACATGCAGCGTTACGTGGCCGTGTGTCCGATGTGCCAGCGAATGAAATCCTCACACCAGCGACCTACAGACTGCCCAAGACAAAGCTGTCGAACTTATTCGCAAGGCGAACGCAACTGCCCGACGGTATACGGATTTACATCGCCGGGATATTACGATGACATCAGGGCAACTAGTCCTGTTGGACACCAAGAATTTACGACTGCCACTACCGACAAAATTGCGACCACGTTTCTGTGCCCCGTTCAAGATCGTGAAGATGGTGACGCCGGTGACCGCCCAACTGCGCCTACCTGATGACTGGCGTATTCACAAAAAATTCCACGTGAGTCTGTTGCGACCCTTCGTTCCTGACACGTCGGACATCGCTCGACAGCGATTGGTTCCAGATGTACGGCCACCAGCCGAGACGACCATCGAGCCTTTGAAGATCTTGAGCCATCGGATTCGTATTGACGGTCGCGAACGACACGTTGACTTTCTGATACGATGGACCGATCGTACCAGTGAGGACGATACGTGGGTGCCTTCGGACCAGATACAGTCACCTTCGATCCTTGCGAATTATTTGGACCGCAAGCACGTGGCTAATATAGATCACCTTCACTAAGGGGGGGGGTGGTGTAAGGAATTTTCCATTCCTTACCGAGCGGTACTGCTATTGCGTACGCTCGAACACACCCGAAGCCTCGGGACTGTTCCAGACCTTCTGACAGGAACGCCTCGGCTTCTCCAGACCTTTCGGTTCGACCTTCAGGAGTTCTCCGGGCCTCGCTTCGTCACTTCGAGACCCTTCGATCTCCTTCCCGAACCTTCCCATCGCATGGTTAGACTAGCTCTGGTGTTCCTATATCTTGGCTTGCCATTCCTTGTATCGTCAATTCATTGAGTGAAGACTTCGTTATTCATTTCCGCGCTACTCTGCTTGTTCATTCATAACAGTTGTATCGGTTGAGTTACACATTCAGGGCAGTAACGTGCTGTGCTTACCTGTTATTGGGGCTGGCTGAGTGTAAGGAATGAGTAATTCCTTACTGAGGCTTTCTACAGGGCGTACGACTCGAACAGTCCCGAACCATCGCCAGGGTTCCAGACCTATCAGTTTGAGCCTCCTGGGCCTTTCCGGACCTCTCGTTATGACACATCGAGGCCCTTCGATACCTTTCCCGAACCTTCCGATCCTACGTCTAGGATCACCCTAGGCTTTCTATATATTGTGTGTTCTTTCATTTTATTGTGATTCACTCGTTCACAAATTCGCCATTGCCCTCCGCGCTACTCGGCAGTCCCATTCATAACACAGCACACCCCTGCTAGGGTTTGTTCGTGGGTCTTGCTCAACACTGCCTCATTCGCCTTCTTGCTCGTGCCTCCCTTTTTTTGTTCCTCGTTCTAGCTCGTACCTTGTCTTTTCTCCTACCTAATCCTTGCTTGTGCCTAGTTCTTGCTGGTAACTAGTCCATTGCTCGTGCCTTGTGGTTGCCCGTACCTAGTTCGTGCTCGTGTCTAGTCCTCGTCGCGCGACTAGTTTTGTCCCTACTTCAGCCTAATGTGCGCCATGACTTTTGAGTCGACTCAAAAGTCATCCCTAATGTGCGCCATCCAAGCCGCATGTGCGCTGGCGCGTTTCGGTCGAGCGCCGCAAGTGTCATCACGTTTCGCGCTGGCGCCTTGTGCTGGCGTGCCAGAGCCGCGCGCGCTGACACCACGAGTGTTGCAACGGTGCACGCTGCTGTGAAGCGCGTTGGGGCGGTTTGCGCAGGCGCCAAACGCCTTGGCACCGCGGTCGCCAGCGCTCGGCGCGCTATGCCGAGCCGCACTGGCGCCACGCGCGCCGAGACATTGCGCGCAGGCTCCAGGCGTGCTGGCGCCTCGCTCGAAAGCGCCAGTCGCGCAGGCGCCAGGCGTTCTAACGCCGCGCTTGGCAGCCCCTGGCGCGCTAGAGAGACTCGTTGGCACCGCGCGCGTTGCGCCAAGGTGTGCGCAGGCGCCAAGCGCCCTGTTGGCGCGGTTGTTAGCGTTCGGCTCGTTAGGGCCAGACGAGCTGGTGCTGCGCGCGTTTCGCTTGCTGTCGCCAGTTGGGCTGGCGTGGCTCTCGTTAACGCTAGGCTCGTTAGGGCCGTGCACGCTGGCTCCACCCTTGCTAGCGCCAGTCTTCCTCGCACCGTGCTTAGTGGAGGTGTGCACTGCCACTGCGATGAAGGTGAGTGGGTCTACAGTTTGCATGAATTTTATGGTCAATATTCTACCCTCTCTCTCCCGTTGTACTACTTATAATTCTGGTGGCAACATTCTTGCTTGCGTTCCTTTCAGTCTTTCTCATGCACTCTCTTCAATCCATTTCGTTTGTTCATGGCTTTTCCTGGCTAGGGCTTCCAGTTTCTCATTTCAGAGCCCGTTTCTAGTTTCTTGCAGCTTCAGCACCACCTCTGCCCTGTTGTTGCTGGTCCAAGGGAGAAGTAGCCAACGGAGAATTTATATTCACAATAAGAGTCATCTTTTAATCTCTTGTTTTCTTCTCCAGTTCTGTCGTTTGTTGCCAGAGTCTGGGCTAGTAAGTTTTGATTCTCCAGGTTGCTTGCTAGGCTGTTAAGTATTATATCGATGCTGCAATTTTGTTTAGATCTTGAAGCCTAAACTGTTTCGATTGCTAGGGCTGACGTGCAGGGCTGACGTTTCAAAAAAAGGCACTCTGAGCTGACCCCCCCCAAAAAAAAAAAAGTCTGAATGGCCTTCAGCCAGAATTTAGGGACTCTGAAATGTCAGAGTCCAGAGATGTGCAACTCTGAAATTCTCAGGATCGCGCAAATGTACTCAGGGTTACATTTTATGTTATTAAGAAAAGCTATTCTTGTGTATTACATTTTGCTACATTGGACAGGAGCCTATCTACAACTACTACTACCAAACCAAGCAATCACCACTAGCTAACAGGCACCTAGAACTCCGGCACATCTACAGTAATCTCATCATCACCCCCCTCATCGTCGGACAGGAAAGGGTCGTCGCCTAATGTTGGAGCCGCATCATTCTCATCATCACCCCCATCCTCCTCAGCCCACCCCTCCCCCGCGTACTCTGGCACCTCCCCCTGTCCATCCGTTGTGTCCCCCGCCACCTCACCCTCTAGGGCCTTCCCCTTGCGTTTTCGTTCCGCTCTTGCGAAGACAACAGATCGTGCTGGCCATCTCAGCTTCTCTCGCCAGGTCGCTAGGGCTTCGGTCCAATTGATGTCATACTGCAGCAGCGAGATGGCCATCAACTCGGAGAGGCGTGCGTTGCAGAGTGAGCCACGGACCCAGGACTTAATCACATTCTGCCGAGAGAAGCCCCTCTCACATTCGACGGTTGACCAAGGCAGCACGGCGCAGGCCTGCCAGAGGCGCATCAGATTGGGCCAGCGCCTGACACGGGGCACAAAAACAGAGGCGGAAGAAAGGCAGTAGGAAATGCATACAGTGAAGGCGGATAACAAAAAGATGCGGTTGGCAAGGGCGGCGATGTTGTGCACACTTCGCAAGTAGAATGGAAGGTGGTGATTCAGAAACGACAATATGGTTGGACTTGCCTGCTCGAGTCCGTCTTCGTGAGGTAGTTTGCCAGGCCTTGGTGGAAACTCTCCACCTCGTGATGATTCTGCATGATCGGCGCCCAAGTTGCGAGCTCCCTCTCCGCTGCCTTCACGTCGAAGCCTGGCAGCTTGTGCTCGAAGATGCCGCTGCATCCAAGCAGATACTCTCTCGTCTTCTTCTCGCGCTGCGCCCGTTGTCTCGGCCACTTCGCCGCCACCCAGAGCTTCGTCGGCGACATCTTGCGCAGATCCAGCATCCGCTCTTGTACGTTGGTCATGGTATCCTTGGCGTGCTTCTGGCACAGCTGCACGCAATCCTTGTAGCTGCTCCCGTACTGGTGCTTGTCGAGGTGCCGCTCGTGCATCTTGTACGAATGGGTGACGGGGTTCCCCTCCAAGTCGATACCGCGCACCTTCACCCGCTTCGTTCCGCCGCGCCCGTACACCGCGAGGAACGCCGAGAGCCAGGTGTTTTCGGCGCCGACACCGAAAATCTCCCCGAAGTCGACATAGCGGTGCCGCAGATCCCCCAGTGTCGCGTCGATGTCCGTTGCCACCTCTGTGACATCGACCTGCGGTGTGAGGGGGGGGGGACACAGAGGAGTGAAAGACATGAGTACTTGCACCAGAGGAGAACACCATGCTTGCAAACATGAGCATCTTACCTCTCGCTTCTGAAACTTGAGGTTGAGGTCGTTCATGAGTGCCAGCATGTCGGCCAGGTAGAAGAGGCAAAACTAAAACTTATACGAAATCACAACCTCATACAGGGGATGCTCATACTCATACAGCAGAACAATCGCAGCACCCAACACTTTACACAGGCGTCGGATTGCCTCTCCCCTGGACAACCATCGAACTTGATGGATGCCTTGAACCTCAAGGTTGGTGCTGTGAATCGCCCACTGCAGATGCTTGAAACGACTGCTCCATACGCTCGACCGGCCGAGAAGGTCCGCAAGGGTGCGAGTGACTTTGTCGACCATGTCGAGGTCTGGACATGAAGCGGCAGCATCCTTCACATCAAGTGCTTCTCTGCATGTACCGACATGGGTAGTGGTTAGCACACAGAAACATAAGAAGCATAAACAGACAGCAAGGAATACTTTAACAAACCTGTGGGCGATGCAGTGGGAGGAAAAAAGGTGCGGGATGATGTCTCGCAGTCGCGCCACAAGCCCGTTGTCTCGGCCGACCATCACCGACGCGCCGTCTGTGCTGATGCCAACGATGCGTTGGAGGTCGATGCCGGACGACTCCAGGTGGGCTAAGAGAGTGGCCATAAGAGAAGCGGCGTCGCACTTGTCAACGTTTAGCAGGGCTAGGAATTCGGTGACGACTCGACGCAGCCGCATGAATGTGATGTAGACGATCAAGTGCTTTCCCCGCGTGCGGTCGGTGCTTTCGTCGCATGAGATGCCGAGGTAAGGTGAGCTCTTGATGTGCTCCATCTGAGTAGCCAGCAGATGCGTAGAGAGACATTTGACCATCTGCTGGAACCCGTACCTGCAGTGGCATAATCAGAAGTGAGACACTGGGTAATTAGCATTGGAAATGCATTGAAATTTACAAGGTTCATATCAAAATCCAACCATCAACCGGCGAAAGCCAGGTAGCCTTACCTGGTGAGATACACTCCGTACGACTGGAGAGGTATGTCTGGTGTGTCTTGCTCTGCCATGAAACGAAGCAGCCGGGGAAACATGGCGATAGGAGCGTCGTTCTTGCAAAGAAATTCCACGCACCGCAAAAGACGGATGACGCGGCGGCCTTCGACATCGACGGTGGCGAAGCTTGTCATCTTCTGTTGCTTGTCTTCAATTTCCTTTTGAATCTCGAGCTGCCGGCGAACTGCCGCTTCGTGGACTGTTGAGTGTTCATGAATGCGCATCGTCTGTGTCTGGAGATCTCGCCCGCCATCGCCTGGCCTTGAATACTTCGTCGTTTCTTTGCCGAAGGCTCGGCAAACGCTGCACTTAAGAGCGGGGTAGCCATCTTTAGTACGGGTAAGTACAAGCCATGGGAAATAACGCAGCCAATCATTCTTATACTTAGCCTCCGCGACTAGGTATTTCTGCTCGATCAATTCCTCTGTACTTAGCCTCGGTGGCGGCGGTTCATCAGGGCGGGTGACGGGGGTAGGTGAGCGCGGTGGTGAGGGAGGGCGAATCTGGCCACCTGAGTTGATACGCTGCTGTGTATACTTCGTCGTACGTTGTTTCTTCGCCGAAGAGACAGACGATGCGCAGGGCACACTATAACGAACGGTAGAGGCAGTGGCGCTGTCAATAG